TATCTACCCCAATAGCTGTAAAGGTGGCGGAAGTGACTCCTTGGATTCATCATTCTAAGGTTAAACCAGCGGCAGACTCTTGGCAAGCTACTCCAGATCCTGAGAATCCTTGCAGGACCCGGTTGAAGCGTGCAACTCAGTCAGAGTGACGAGGGGATATTGAGACATTCTAGTTAAAAGTCTACAAAGATCATCAAGTAGGTGTTTTGACGGCCATAATAAAGCCTGACCACCTGCCTACGTGTCATAGCCAGAGTATCTTGAAGGGATCTCTGTGAAGGAAAGTGAGGATCAGAAGAACAACATCCTTGCAGCCCTCACAATCGGGAAGCTGAGAGGCCATCGCACGGTCGAAGAAAAATGAGGATTTCAGGAATAATGTGTTTTATTGTGTCTTAGTATTTTTATGATTTTTCAGGAAGGTAGGAGTACAGACATACCGAATTGCGATAGTTGCATTAAGACTACTAAAACAGGTAACCAAATATCCCAAACTCTCATCTGGCACTCACAGTATAAATGTAAGGGATCTGTATCTAAATGTAGATATTTGGATATTGATTATAGTGTGTGCAAGCCAATATCAGGAGAGTCTAAATGTTTTGATCCCCATTTCCAACCCCGTACAATTTGGTGGGTAATTCGGAATAGTAACTCCCAGGGGACATTACTAAATAGGACTGTGATAAGCACCATACATTCCACGGGTATTCTACTATTTGATGCATGTAAGGCGATTTCGGGTAGTGGAAGACTTTGGAATGTATGTGGTAATCTTAAATGGGAACGAACTTATGGGTTTAATGATAAATACTTATGTCCCAGTAAAAGATCTACTGATCCTGATTGCCCAAATAGAGACTAACTTCTGCCCCTATTTGTCATGTGTAGGTTGGGCAACCTGGGAAAAACAGTGGATCAAGATATGATTATCCAAAGGTTGCCTACCACACCATACTGTAAAACTATGTGTGTAACCCCGTTCACATGACCATTTCCAATCTGCAGTACTTTATTGACAGGTTTGGAGGTCTGTTTGGGTTCCAAATATATGGCACAGGAGTAGATTCAGGAACAATAATATATGTAGGTCTTGAAACTGAGACAGTGGCAACTCAAACTCATCAGGTTTCTCATTCCTTCTATGAGGAGATGAGTATTGAGGATAAAATTCCCCATAATGTTAACAACCTATTTATTGATTTGGCTGAGGGTATTGCAGGTAGTCTTAATGTAACTAATTGCTATGTGTGTGGAGGTACTAATATGGGAGACCAGTGGCCATGGGAGGCAAAGGAAATATGGTACCCTGGCTCTGAGACATATGAACAACAGATACCTTTCCAGTCTGATCATCAAGTAAGTACTAGAAGTAAATCAGAATGGTGGTTAAAAACCTCCATTATAGGTCATGTTTGTATAGCCAGGAAAGGGACAATGTATAACACGTCTGTAGGTGAGCTAACTTGCTTGGGACAAAAAGCCTATAATGTTAATACTAAAAATACTACTTGGTGGTCAGCTTCAAATGTCTCGGAACCTACTAATCCGTTTGCCAATTACACTCATTTAAAGGAGGTATGGTTTGACTTATCGGCTACATCTAGTTGGAAAGCCCCAGCAAATTTATACTGGATTTGTGGTAAGAAAACTTATTCGGAGTTACCACAAGATTGGGAAGGGGCATGTGTATTAGGTATGCCAAAGCCATCCTTCTTCTTGTTGCCAATCGAAACAGGAGAGACCTTGGGAGTTAAGGTTTACGATGTAAATCATAAAAGGGAGAGAGCATCCTTGAATATAGGTAGCTGGGAAGATAATGAGTGGCCCCCTCAACGTATTATTAATTATTATGGACCTGCTACTTGGGCAGAAGATGGCACTTATGGATATAGAACTCCGATTATATATGCTCAACCGCATTATTAGACTACAGGCGGTAGTTGAGATTATTACTAATGAGACAGCTCAAGTGCTTAATCTTCTAGCTAAGCAAAATACCAAGATGTGATCAGCCATATACCAGAATAGGCTAGCCCTTGATTACTTACTAGCAGTAGAAGGAGGTGTATGCGGAAAGTTTAATCTAAGTAACTGTTGTCTGCACATAGATGATGAAGGGCAGGCAGTGGCTGAACTTACAAGCCACATGGTTAAATTTGAGCATGTACCTACTCAGGTCTGGAATGGGTATAACCTAAGTAGTTGGTTTGGAAGTTGGTATGAGCAGCTTGGAGGAATTAAGACATTAGTAGGAGGAGTAGAATTTATTATATTTTTTTTGTGCCTCCTCCTGCCCTGTCTAATTCCACTAGTGGTAAGGTCCCTACGTAGTATTATAGAGAGTACTATAGAGAGAAAGACAGCTGCCCATGTAATGGCTGTCTGGAAGATATGATCCCCTAGCCCGAAGAGAATATATTCAGGATGAAGAATGTTGAAGGAGTTTTTAAGATGCTTACAAGGTCTACTCTGGTTCAATGGCTACTTGAGAGATGTAGGTAAAACTGTGATTGGTGATGCATCTGGAATAATGTTATATCAGAGGCATCAAAAGGGGGGAATGTGATGGGATTCCAGCATGGTTAAAATTTAGTAGGCCAAAATCTCCATGTGGCATATGTGTATGTTGTGTCAGTTGGCTAGCTACATGTAGCTAGGATACTGTCATCAGTGTACTGAGCATGTGCAGGAATGCAGGAACTGAAATTGCACTTATTTCCTTTGTCTTGGATGAGCCATGTGGTTTGACTAGATGTACAAGTCTATAGTCTGCTCATTGATTGGTTAAAGGTATATGTGGGTGTAGCTATTAATGGGAGGAGTTATAGTGCTATATAAGGAATGTACACTATGTGTTGGTCTCTCAGATCTTTTGGAACAGGAGTTCATCTGAGACCCGATCGGTAATGTGAATAAAGGCCTGTTACTTCCTGAAGACCTGTGTCCAATATTTCTGTGTTTGGCTTCTGCATGCTTACACTGCAACATTTCTGGTGCAATTGGCCGGGAACCTCATTTGCATGGAAGCTAGCGCAGAGATTTGAGACGGTAAACTTTTACCAAACCTTCTACGCTACAATCCTGGACTTCTACTGCGTGGACCTCCTTTCGTCTCGGCGCCACTGGCCTTTTGTCCAGGAGATCATCGGCTTCTGCGCAGTGAGCCCCGGATTGTTCCGTCTATGAGTGAACCCAGGTCCAGGAATTAACAGGTAAGATTGATACCGTTAGAGCGGTAGACCCACAAGGGGTTTTATATTTGGAACCGGTTATTGGTATTGGCCCCTTCAATAGAAGGAAGAAGTGAAAGCGCAACACTTATCTGGAAATTAGACGCTCTGTAGTCAGCCCGTCTAATATAGGTGGTTTGGGTCAGACTGAGTTCTGGTGTAAATAGCTCATGTCGGACACCGGTGTCCTGTCTTGACTAGCGTATCTAGGGTGTAAATTTTGTTCGCTAGGTCGGGGGGACCGGGAGACTAGCATACTCTGTTGTATATTATAGTTTGCTAGATTTCACCCTATCTTAACTAAGTGTGCTCTGTTGTAAATCCAGCCACTAGCTTATTGATAGTTTAATAGACTAGCTGGGTACTGTGTAAATTCTGCCCTCTAGTTCGCTATACGTGGTGTCTGGGCAGCGAAGAACTTATCGAATCTCTGGTGTATAAATAGATCGAAAGCTCTCGAGGTGCTGGCCAGTTAGAATAGTTGGGATTATTGTAAATGTTGTTAAATATATTGTAGTTGGTGAATTGGTTAACTTGTATGTCCTACTAGAAAGTTAGAGCTCTGCTGTCTAGTGGGAGTGTAAATTGTGTGTATAACTGTAAAATAGCGCACGGTACCATAACTACTGACATGTACCATAACCACTGACATTGTGTAAAAATTACTAACAATTGCTGTTTTATGTTATATGTTATATGTATAATACCATATAATACCATAACTGTTACTAGAGAAACTGCTATGTTTACATTTGGGGTTAAGCCAGCCAGCCATATTATGCCTCCATCGTGCAGAGCGTCCATAGGAAAGCATTGAATTTTTTTTTCCTATTGACAGCTTGAATGTGCACGCGGCACTTGACGCACATGCGCATTCGGCTCCACTGAGGTCGGCAGAAGGAGCTGACGGTGGGGGAGGAGAGATCACCAGCGCTGAGGGAGCCCAGTGCTGGAATAAGGTAAGCTGCTGCAGGAGTTTTAAGGTCAGCGCCACGGGAGGGGGACCCTGAGGGTGGGGGCACCCTCAGGGCACTATAGTGTAAGGAAAACCGCTTTGGTCTTCTGACACTATAGTGATCCTTTAATCACTGAGAGTAGTGTGAGAACTTATACTGATTAAATATACACTATATGGACAAAAGTATTGGGACACGCCCCTTCATTATTGAATTCAGCTGTTTTAATCAGACCCACTGCATCTAGCCATGCATGTAAATGTAAAGTCGCCAAGGGTCTGCTGATTCCATAGCTGAAAAGTTCCAAACTTCCACTGGTATTAATAAAAGCACAAAAACCACCACCAATAAATTCTGTGGAGTATTAAATCAGGCTTCTCTAAACTAAAGTTGTTTTGGTGACTATAGTGTCCCTTTAAAATAATAAAGGTTAAGTGGACAAATGTTAAAAATAGACACATTGGGGGACACTAGGGACTAGTAGCGTTTAGGGGGATAGTCAAAAAATAGGGGTCAAGCCATGACATTGCCGTCATAATATTAAGCATTAGATCCATGTGATTTTGATTGCATTTTTTACAACAGAATAAGTTAAATATAACTTATAGCAACAGGTTGCATCCAATAAATAGTAAATGAGTATAAGGAAGGTAATAATATTTCTTCATATCGTCTTGATTCCTATGTTGCTTGATCTTTTCTCAATTAGTACTTGTAAATAGTAGAAAGAAAACAATCAATAGTGTAGTATTTCCCTGTAAAGATGGATAACAGACAACAAAGTGCATAAGTGCAAATGGTAAAGAGATTTCTTACAGTGTATAGTGTTATAATCCTGACTTAATGGATATGGATGTAGTCATGGTGACTTCAGTGTTTTTTCAGTGCAGCATATGAATATGACAAAAACAAGACTCCAATAGTGCAATATTGGAAATATAAGTGGAATAATGGGAAAACCAAAAAATATTTGATACACTCACAAACAGGGAGCTTATCATCTAAAGCTCAAACTTTTAGGCGTGCGGTAGTAAGATCCCCACCTAAGCAGTGGCAGAATTACCAGGGTTGCATTCCGTGGGGAATCCAGTGGCACGGATTCACAGATATGGCCTAGATGGGGGGATCTGAAGATCTCCACTTCTGGCCTGGTATAATGTCATTTTCTACATTCTAGCAATAGGTGTGGGGCCAGCAACTCTACTCCCTTCTCCAAATAAATATTATATGTGGAAATATGTGGGTTGGTGTGGTTACATATTAGGGGGTGAGATGGATCTGAGATATGTGGGTTGATGTGATGACATATCGGGGGTGAGATGGGACTGAGATATGTGGGTTAATGTGGTTACATATTGGGGGATGAGATGGGACTGAGATATGTGAGTTGATGTGATGACATATTGGGGGTGAGATGGGACTGAGATATGTGAGTTGATGTGGTTACATATTGAGGGGTGAGATGGGACTGAAATATGTGAGTTGATGTGGTTACATATTGGAGGTAGTGATGTACCGAATGGTTCGCCGGCGAACGGTTCCTGGCGAACATAGCATGTTCGCGTTCGCCACGGCGGGCGAACATATGCGCGGTTCGACCCGCCCCCTATTCGTCATCATTGAGTAAACTTTGACCCTGTACCTCACAGTCAGCAGACACATTCCAGCCAATTAGCAGCACACCCTCCTAGCAGACCCTCCCACCTCCTGGAAGGCATCCATTTTAGATTCATTCTCAAGCTGCATGCTTTAGTAAGAGGAGGGAAAGTGTAGCTGCTGTTCATTAGATAGGGAAAAGCATAGCTAGGTTAGGGTTAGGGTATGCTTTTTTAAAAAAAAAATTTCTATGTAATGTAATTGCACTTAGTTGTCTGCCACTGCTGCCAGCTTCTGTGTCAGGCTCACAGTGCATACTGTGCCCATTTCCCCAGTCAGTGCCACCACTTACATCTGGTGTCACAATAGCTTGGATTTAAAAACAAAAAACTTTTTTCACTGTTATAGATTAAATAGCAGTCAGTTGTCTGCCACTGCTGCCAGCTTCTGTGTCAGGCTCACAGTGGATACTGTGCCCATTTCCCCAGTCAGTGTCACCACTTATATCTGGTGTCACAATAGCTTGGATTTAAAAACAAAAAACTTTTTTCACTGTTATAGATTGAATAGCAGTCAGTGTCCTTAAAACGGGTGTGTGCGTAACATTGTTGAATACGGTGACCAGTTACCACCACTTATATCTGGTGTCACAATAGCTTGAATTTAAAACAAAAAACTTTTTTCACTGTTATAG